AAACTCTCTGTCTCGATGAGAGGAAACCCTGCTGTCAGTTTAAGGCTTTCATCTCTCAATTATGGTCCTGTGCTTCTGGAACAGCTCAGTTTGTAATGTTGAGGAGGAGAATTCATCCCCTGCTAAGCATTCAAAGGTTTATTTCTCATCGTACTCAGTTATTTTAAGTACTTTTTAAAGAATAAATAACAAAATATTCTCTACAGCGTCTCAAATGGGAATATTTGTTGGTTTCTTTTGTTTTTTGATTTTGTTTTTTGGATTGTTGAACGGGCAAATCAAATCAAACCCCCCAAAAATGTAATTAGTCCATTAATCGACTGAAAATTAAAGAGCAGCTGATAATCAGTTATGAGTGTGCTGCTTTTCTTTTTAAGGATTTTAGTAACATGAATGTATTTGTAATTTGATTGTTGGTTGAACAGAATCAAGTGGCAAACTATGTGGCTGACAAATGAAGCCAACATGGAAGTTACAAAAACTGCAGTTCCTCTAACAGCCACTAGAGGCTGGCTCCAGCACTGAGTCCATAAGGCCCCATAATATAATGCCCAACCTCACAGCAGAAATAAACATGTTGACAGTCTGGTAGAGAAATACTTAAAGATAATTTTTACAGGGTGAATTTTTATATAACTCACCCGTTTAAGCTATATTAAGGCTTAAAGTTATGCATAATTAAGGGTGTGGTCATTTTGAGTGACAGGTGTGTGCCCTCACAGGCGGCTGTTTTCAGTAACCAGGCTTCAAATTTCTTTTTTGGATAGCCCGGGAACCCGCGGAGTCAGGACTTCCAAGATGTCGACGTCAGAGCCGACCACATGAGCTTAGGCTCGGACGTCGAAACTGCCACTTTATTTGAACATTCATACAAAGTCAACCAATCATGACATTATCTACGTAATTTCAATGAATATGCAAATTCTAAATGATGTGAGGTGCATCTAGTGACACATGAAATGGTCACACTGTAAATCATTAGCTAACTTCTCCAGTATTCCCCTGTGATGGCACCGGCTGCTGGCTTATCTAGTAAAACAGAGTAGACTAAAAACCGAACTATAAATAGCAGAATGTGACCCGCGCTCCACCGTCTCCGCCTCCTGTGTCGCGTCTGATCCACAGAGCTGCAGCTGAAGTGCGGTGCAGCCGAGCAGAGGACGATGTACCGCCATGTGGGTTGAAGCGGTGGTTAAAGCGACCGAATGGAGCCTAGAGAGAGAGAGCTGAGGGTTTAAATGAGTCTCTGACTGGGAGGGAATCACACCACCAAAGCCCATCCAGAAGCATTAAACACTGAATGAGGGATTATAAATAGATCCAGAAGCCTTCCCCGTCCTCCTTCTCTCGCTCATATCATCCTCGCTGTCCTCATCCAAACCGAGAGCAGCACTGGCACTGGGTTGACAGATAAATGTCACCCAGGGGTTCAAAGGTCACTTGGTTAAATGTCTAATGCTGTTACAGCAAAGCTGTTCATCTGTATCCAGTTCTCTTTTTTTTTTCATAATAGTTGAGAAATGTAGATCGAAATAGGATCTGATTCAATGTCACCCACCTCTTTTTAATGTTAGATAAGATGGATTGATCAACCCTCACTGGTTGTTGATTTAAATCTGATATTTATACATTATTATAATTATATATATCTCATTTAATGAGCTCCATTTAACACAGAGGTGTAATTTATGTACAAGTATCATGGAAAGGTAATGTGAAATACTATTTTATTAAGACAACGTTAGAAACATTTTCTTAAAACCAGATTACTTTTGTAACGCAAAACGTTTTTATTTTTCCTTTTAGACAAAAATAAGACTAATTTCCCAGAAACAAGTCCTTTTTTTACTTTCCAGTTCTTCAGGTCATTGGACAATCTAAAGCGAAATGCTCTTAACATGTTAACAACAAATTGTAAGGTTGTAGACAACATAGAACAGCCATATGTATATTTTAAACCATCAGTCAGAAAAACAAATCACTGTATACATTAGAGGCGCGTGAGTGAAACGGTGGCGCCGAATCTCCCGAGGGAGCAATTCACTGTTCTTCCTCTGCTCCTCAGCTTTCTCTAAATGGACTTCATCTTCATCGACCACAAAAGAGGTGACATTTAGAAACAGCTGTAAAGGTCCTAAAACTATATCATACTATATATATTTGCCTTTTTATTGGATGGAACAGCTCGAGATGGACAGGAAAGACAGAGAGAGAGAGAGAGAGAGAGAGAGAGAGAGGAGGGGTGACATGCAGCAAAGGTTGGATTTGTACCACTGGCCCCTCCAGCAAGGACTTGGTACAGAGAGTGCCAGTGCTCCCCAGGTCATCTGTTTTAAGGAAAACTGTATTTTGAATTAAATCCAGATATTTAAACATGTTCTGATACTAAAATAACAATCGGCTCATGTAGTTGTAGTGTCGTTGATCTAGTCTTTTTATTGTATCATTTTCCCATCAGGCCTGAGCCAGCTCTTTAAGAAGTATGTTTGTTGAAACTATAATAATGGATTTTCTTCCAACTGTATCGTTAAAGCTTTAAATGAAGTCAGCTCTCTGTTCTTTGGAAATCCAATCAATGCAGGAGCAGACTGCTGTAGCTGCAGTGTGATGTCCTGGAGAGAGCCTGCTCTCTAAAAGCATCCCTGCACAATGGATCCACACACAAACCTGCATTAAAACCAGCTGGCTTTGTGTCTTAGTGTGTGTGTGTGTGTGTGTGTGTGTGTGTAGGACTGATTGTGGTGCATTCAGACTACATCCGCAGACACAGCAGCATTAGTCACGTAGCCTGCGAGCAGACTAACCTGACATCCTGTGAGGTTTGAATCAGGGTGAAGTGTTCTGGGCTCAGTGGGCCTGAAGGCCTCACTGACACAAATACAGGTATTAGTATTGGTGACGGTTGTCATGGTGACAATCCTATTGTGCTTTCCTTCTTTTTAGTTTATATGTAAAACATTGCTGTCGCCCTTCCAACGCGTCACAATGTTCTAACTCTGTCAGGGTGGACTGATGTCAGTGTGACAGCGTTTCAGACTTTTGTTATCTGGATGAAACCTGAGCGAGTGCCGAGCAGGCAGGAGGGTTTCACTTACAGCAGCCTAACAACCTGTCTGCGTGTGGAAGATGACAGACAGGCAGCCCGTCATTAGTTGCCGAATTGACGCGCTGAATGTGGAGACCTGATTATTATGTGTGATCGCTCCCAGCACAGGGATGTTGGTTGGTTTTTTAGATGAATAATGATGATACAGAGGAACAGTTAATGTGATACTGTATATAATGAAAATATAATGTAATTGTGTTTTCATAGTACAAACTTTAACCACTGACTGTACCGGTGCTCCTGGGCTTATAGTCCCCGCACTTAAACTTAAAAGTATATGATATGATAAAACAGAGAGGACATTGAGTCTCTGCCGGTGGATGAAGGCAGGGACACCTTCTTCCTGACCTCAGCTGTGAGTGTGTGAGCACTATAATCAGATTTGGGGCTTGTACATCGACCAGGAGGGAGTCTGTTAATGGATCACGGATGTTAGCAGGAGCTTCCTGCTGGCTGTAATACAATCCAGCCACAGCAGCCTGAAGGAGTCCAAGTCGGACTCTGTCACCAAACTGAAACCATCAATGAAGATGGAGGGAAAGAGAACATTTTAGTGAAGTTTGGCAAAGATTGTATTTAGAAACCAGATTTGTTTAGATTTATGTTGTCATCTTTCAGTTCTGTGTAAAGAAGAAATATTTGTAACAGTTTTGGATGTTTATCACTTGAATTCTTATTTGAAATGCATTTAAATTATCAGAATGAATTAGCAGAAATATGTCTAATTTCATACAAAATGTAGAAGATGGAAGATTGAGACGAAAGAGGGAAAGGAAAGAAGAGAGCAGATCTTTATTTTGACATGACTTCATCACTTCAAGCTTTTCCTCTCAGTCTAGATTTTACCAAAGTCTCCATAAGTGGGTCATTTTAAAATAACTGAGGACTAGCTGAGCTCTGGTGACACATTCGACAGCTGCGAGCGTCTAATAACCTCAGGCTCACGTTCTCTTTTAGCTGCTAGTGTCTGTGGTCGCTTTTAGACTGAGACTCACTGATCGCTGTCTTCACAGAACATTAGAAAAGAAAGAAACATTCTGCCTTTAAAGGAACGTTTTCAGCATCGGAAGAGCTTTCTGTTCAAATAGATGCACCGGCTCATACACTGATCTAGATAAACATGATAAAAAGTGTGGTTTTTATTCTCACTGGAACAAGTAACCTTTGATTTTTTAATGAATTTTACAAAAATATCTCTACTATTTTGCAAATCTTACTTTCTCCTGCAATTTTATTTTTAAAACAAGGCCTTAAAACTTTACATGCATCACAACTCGTTAGAAAAGCTGCCATAAAATCAGGAATTTTAGGCTGCAGCCGCCTTTATATTGAATTCTTTAATGTCCTTTTGGAACATAGATTCATTCACAATAGACAAATTAAATGAAAAGCAGACTGTGTTACTTTGACAGAAAGTGTGTTTTTTATGTGTTCAGTCTGATATCGATGATCAAACAATCATTCATACAGTCATACAACTGTTATCCTTTATGAAGGGATGTTTTAGGTGTCTCGCTTCTACTCTGCTTAAATGATGCCATTTTACAGATTCATTTTCTTTAAGGAAAATTACACTTTGTCACAACTGGATTTCAACATTTTGTTGCTCAATCCCTAAATAGGTCTGATATGTTGTATTTCATATCAATACTCACTGAGCTAGGGCCATCACAAAACACATTCAGATACTATTACAGATGTTTTTGGGAATCCACATTAAGTTAAAGATCTGCATAATGTTTGTACCAAATCAGTTGTTATAGTGATAACATATAATAGAAAGGATTGCTCTGTGCTAATAAGTCGGTATGTTGTGTAACCCTAAAACCTTGTGTGTGTGTGTGTGTGTGTGTGTGTGTGTGTGTGTGTGTGTGCGTGTGTGTCCTCCCCTCAGTGTCTCAGATGGTGATTGAGGAGGTGAGCGTCTTGCAGACTCAGCTGGAGATCGAGAAGTCGTGCCGGGAGAATGCAGAGGCCCTGGCCACAAAGGTCACACACACACACACACACACACACACACACACACACACACACACACACACACACACACACACACACACACACACACACACACACACACACACACACACACACACACACACACACTCAATAATCAATACTATGAGATTAGCATTATCAGGGTCCAGCTGGCATTAGCAGGAGAATAAAGTGAAGAGCTGAGTCAGGATGACTCTGCACAGAGACTATTTGACTGCATTGTCTCCATCTGCTGCTGCCTTCACAGCAGAAACTTATATCAGAATTTAATTATGTTTACATGTAAATACAAACAGGTACATTATATATTTTTTATAAATATATTTGTAATTATATCAATATGAAATGTATAAAAAAGTGTGTTCTGTAAACTCACCACCATGATGCTGTTTCTTAAAGGAGAAGAATATTTAGATTTTGTGTAGTTTTAATCACGTTGACCCCCTGTGACCTTTGACCTCCAGCTGAACTGCGAGAACAGGAAGTTGAAGTACCTGAGCCTGTCGTCTCGTCCGTGTCTGGACGAGCTGCTTCCCAGCATCTCAGACTGCATCGCACTGGAGGCTGAGTCGGACGCGGATGCAGCAGACGGAAGCCCCGACACCTTCACACAGTACCAACAGCAGGTTAAAGGTACATTACGTAGTATTATAGTTGTGTAGTACCGCCAACAGGTGAACTAAGTACCCGTGGCCAGAATACCATCATATGTTCCGAGTATATTTGGGCTCCTCAGACAATGAATCCTCATATTTTGGTTGACCCCCAACCTCTTTTCTAGAGCTAGAATCCTGAAATTTCCCTACCGGCCCATTCTAACCCCCAACGCATCAAATAGAGCGCTGCAGGGATATTTTTGTAGCATCATCCTGGTTCCTTTGATAAAAAGCCATCGGATTTTGGATTTTTTGCAGAAAATAAGCTCCATGCTGTGTCAGTCTGTGCATGGAGGAGGTTGTGGTGGATGGAAGGGTCAAACAAACACAGGGGGGCGCTGTTCGTTTTCCGTGTGAAAGTTACTTAACTGAACTTCTGAAACTTAATTTAACGCAAACCGAACTCACCGAACTGCGACCGTTTGGTTGAAGCTTTTGATTGAGACACTGAAACCTAATGGACAGATTTTCATTAACTGTGCTGGAGATAATCACGGTCCCAACACGCCGCTTGACCTTACCTGTAGTGAGACCATCCGGACAAAACTTACACTTACACACCAGAAATATCAGAATCTAATGTTCCTTTAAACATCTTCATGCTGAAGGATGAACATTATGTTTAGGGCAGTTGCTTTCTGAAAAAGAATAGATACACAATGAAGGTATGTACCAATGGTGTGCAGTTTCTAATCAGTTAATATTCAAGAAATAAACGTACTGTTCATCTCTGTGTTGTCAGAGCTGAGGGAGACGGTGAACACCTTATTGGAGGAGAAGAAGAATTTTGTGTGTCAGATTCATGAACAGCAGAGACGGATAGAAGAGCTGACTTCACAGGTGAGAACATATCACAGCACTTAAAACCAGTAGAGGAATCTAACTGAGTACATTTATAGTGGAGTAGAATGCATCTCTATACTTTTAATGAAAGTTGGTATATTTACAAGTACTGATACATTATCTATATCAGGTACTTACTGCCGAGTGCTCAACCCTACATGACACTACATTTATAATTGATTGATTTTCAGCTGATGACTGTTTAAGATGCGCACTGGTGTCAGATTTTGTTGATTTTTCTTTCACTCTTTGCAGTCAGACAAAGATCAGGCCGAGATGAAGGAGCTCCGTGAAACTGTTGCACAACAAAGCAAAACCATTAAGAGATTCAACCGAGGTGAGCCACACAGAATACCAATGTCACTTTAAATGTGCTGATCTGTTGCTCTCTTTGTTTATCCTGATGTCTCTCTGTCTCTGTAGTCTCCATGATGGCGGCCCAGGAGTACGATGGGATGAAGGATCAGCTCGACTTGGAGCAGAGCCTGAGAGTCAAAGCCGAGACTTACGCACACGAGGTAAAGAAACGCTCACAGAAGCGCACTGCTGGACACGGTACAAGAGAGAATGCGGAGCTGGTGTTCAGAAGTTTGAAACTTAAAGCTGCATTAAGGCATTTTCTGGCCACTAGGGGGCAGAAAAACGTCAGAACACAGCCACCACAGTTTCACAAGTTTATAAAGTTGTTAGCTAACATAAACAGTTGCCTATTGAGCTTTACTTTGGTCTCCAACTACTACAAAATATTACTAAATTTTATTAAGATTCAGTGTTTAAAAATATAAAAAAATAATAAAAATTTTTCTTTTTTTAAATTTTTTTTTTGTAAATTCAGATATTTGTTAGATTTACAGTTTTGGGTGCAGCTAGGCTAATAAAAGAATAACCAAAGAAAGTCTGGATTGTCTTTGCAGCTTTGGTTGGAAGCAGAAATTAAAGGAACATTCAGCATATATGTAATGTATGGTAGAGGTTTTTGTTTAGATTCAGTTTGTGTCATCCACTCAGCACAGCTTTAACTAATCTTTTCACATAATGAACATGTGAAAATATCACATTTGAGGAACATAATCTTCACATTATTCATAATCTACGCTCCAGAGTTTGTCCTCATGTATGAACATTTTGTGCGACTTTACTGCTTCAGCCCTCTGAAGTGATCTGGTCCGATGATATAATTAATTGCTCTCCATGAATTAAAAGCTGTGGAGTGAAGCTGTGGTTAGCCTCGGTGATAAACGCTGACCTGCATTGCTGTGTTGGTAATTGATGTGTGTGTTAATAACCATGTGCCTGATTAATGAAATGTCCTGAATCTGGTGTCTACTGACCTGAAAAGTGAAGAGCCTGCAGGATGAAAACAGACTGCGTGTGATGGATACATTGGGATGATGTGTTGGTAGTAAAAATGTAGAATCTTCATCTTTCTCCCACTCTTTTGTTTTGTTCTGCTCCCTCCTGCAGATGCTTGTGAAGCAGAAGGAGGCCAACAGGCAGAGTATGCTGCTGCTGCAGAATGCTGAGCCCAGCGTTCAGCTTCTGAAGGCTCTGGAGGACGTCGCGGCCATCACCAAAACCCTGGAGGAGGAGCGTCTGCAGCATCAGCAGAAGGTAAACCCTGAAAGCTTGTGCAGCTTCAGTTTATCGCGGGACGTTGATGTTTGTCCTGGCAGAGCTGACGGCGGGTCTGTCATCAGATTTTCATCCAGTTTGGTTTTCTCTGAAACCAGCTCCCCGCTGGGGCCAAAAATGGCTATTATGAGAGTTGTAAGAGTGAACCGAAACAGTAAAGTTGGAGCTGGACGGTTACACAATGAGCTGAAACTCACTAGAAAGCTGCGTAAAGCGGAGGGGAGCTGCAGGTTCAGCTGTTAATTGTCTGTAAGTTCATCACTATGAGTTAGCTCTATCTGCTGTGAAATAGAGATGTTTGAGCTGGCTGTTATGTTGTGTTTTGTTGGCACACCATTCACTTTCATTATGAGGCACACAGGCAACAAATTCAGTACATTTGTGCAACAGGAAAGTGAAAAATTATTCTGTCCGTAATATCTGTCCCGTGATTCGGATCAGCTCCAAAGTTTTATGGGTTCTTCCTTTCCTTGGCCCCTGCTACACCCTTCCAAGTTTCATGAAAATTGCACCTAAGTTGGATGTGTCACACTAAAGTTTGAGTATTTTTTCCACCACTAATTTTTATCAAAAGACTTTTTATGATGTTACCTGAGGTTATATAGGAGTCATGTGACCTGCAAGCCTACAGTAAAACTACAAACTGCCTTTTTATCAAAAAAAAAACCTCCCTTTAATTGTGTAGCCGTGATGTAAACCATACAGTACGTGTGTGTGTGTGTGTGTGTGTGTGTGTGTGTGTGTGTGTGTGTAGGTGGAGAGCCTGGAGGCACAGCTGGAGCAGAGCTGTGTGAAGAAGCAGCTGGAGGCTCTGCAGAGGCAGCTGGAGCTGCTGGAGGTGGAGAAGAAGGAGGTGGAGGGACGACTGGAGGAGTCAGAGAAGAAGAGCGAGGAGCTGGAGAACAGAGGTGGGTGGAGGTGGAGACGCGCGCGCACACACAGAGCACATAATGGAAACAGCAGGTGGAGTTAAGGGGGTCTTCAGTTGGGTGAATTAAGAGGAGATAAACACACACACACACACATCCAGTATAAGTACACAGCATAGCAACGGGCGAGTATCTACGCCTGAAATCAGGGAGGAGGATTTAAACACTCATTTCTAGCCGCAACGCTGAACCGCCATGTTTGTACAGTAGCCCAGAACAGACAAGCCAAACACTGTTGTTTCCCCTTTGCACTTGGAAAGGGAGGATGAAGCATTCCTTTTAAAAGTTGGATGGAAACACAGCTGTTAAAAAAAAACATATAAAACCTAATGTCTGTGTAGAGGAGGGTCACTGGTGTCTTCTTCCTCTGTGGCCTCTCTGACTATTTGTCCAACACAGACCATTGACCCATCTGCTGCAGGAGAGCTGGCAGAATCTCTCCCTGCGTGCGACATGGCATCTGCCTGCGTTTTTTAAAATGGGTCACGCGAAGTCACGGCCAAAACCACCAACTGACTTCAACCAGAGACCGTTAAAAAAGGACAATAAAAACAGAAGCCTCTTTCACTGGTGTCCAGAGATGGTGTGTTGGGGCAAGAGTCTTCACTCTGGAGGGCAACGAGGAGGCTTGAAAGATTTCCTCCGACAGACCTCTTCAGTGGAAAAGCATAAAAAACTAAAATGAGATAACATGACACAGCAGTATTAAAGCAGCAGCAGTTGTAGTAATAGTAATAGTAGTGGTAGTAGTAATAGTAGTAGTAGTAATAGTAGTAGTAGTAGCAGTAGTAGTAGTAGTAGTAGTAGTCCTGCAGTAGATGTCAATAGTATTTACTGTTTCCATTGTTTTCCATCCTCTCCACAGTCCACGAGCTCCAGGAGGAGACCCAGAAAAACATCGCCATGACGACCAGCACGGGACCCCCTCCCCCCGAACCTGGGGTCGCCCCGCCTCCCGCCCCTCCCCCACAGCCGCCTCCTCCCCCTCCTCCTCCCCCTCCACCTCCTCCTCCACCTCCCCCCTCGAGATGCAACCCCCTCAGGTGAGGAACCGCAAACACACGCTCCACAGCACGCGGCACACGCCACCGACGTGTTTTGTGGTTACAGTACGAAATGGCGAAACAGCGCAGGGTGACCAAAACCACAAACGTGGCGTGGTGGAGCGCCTTCTCAGAGGAGACTGTGTGACTGAACATGACTTTAATGTGTGATTTATGCTAGCCTAGTGTACAGTTTCAGTATGCAGTTTAATTAAGGAATACTTTATATATACGGATTATATTTACTGTCTGCTGTTTTATTCGAGCTTCCAGAAATGGCACAAAAATAGTGTCTATGACTTAGTGACATATTTCATGGATTTTTTAAACCACTGGTTCAAAACCAGGGGGCCCCAACCCCCTATCAGAGGTTGCCAAAGCCTCAGGGGTACGAAGCCCTCTAAAGTATACAGTATTTAAGACACAATCATTGTGGGAATGATCATTTTTTGCATCATAAATTTGATTTTGACAAAAAAAAAAAAAATATTAAAATGATGATGTGACATTTTTTGGAGTCTTAACAAAACCAAACCTGTTTTCTTACATCTGGAGAACAAGATTTGTAGGCCAGGGCATTCCTTTTTTTAAATATTTAAACTTAAAAGACTCTCACAAGACCTAAACACCAGCTATATATAAACTGCAGTCTGTATTAGAAAAGCACACAGTTAACAGAACCAAAGAGCTGCGTCCCAACGTCATGTGTAAAAAAAAAAAGCCTTTTAAATATTTATTATATTATTAAAAATCATACGTATGAACAAAAATATAAAAAATATATTTAAAAATAAATTGGCTGGTTTTTGTTGTGCATTGAATATAATAATAATTGAATCATATATGTCACTTAGTCAGTTTACTGATGATAGAAAGGGGAAAACTAAGGATAAAGGTTGGGAACCACTGTCTGAAATAAAAATAATAGATCTTAACTTTTAAAAGTAACAATTTTATGTAGTTGTCTTCACATAAATGAAGAAAGTACCGAGATACAGGCCTACTGTAATCATTTATGATCTGTGTTTCTGGTCAGCTGATCATTCCTACAGAATGTGAATGATTCTCAGTTGTTGTCTCTCCGTCTCTCAGCTCTCTGATAGCCATAATGAGGAAGTCGTCAAAAGGCTCTAAGGTGTCTGTGAAGTCAGAGCAGCCTCCAGGTGAGTCTCACTACACTACACCATATTTATATGAAGTGTCCGAAGAACTGCTCCGATCTTTTACCTAAAGCCGCTACGAGAACCTTCGTTTTTGCGTTGATTCTGGCGGCCCTCCGTGGACATCTTCTCGCTGATGGTCTCACCTTTACTGTATGTCATATTGAGTTATCAGTATTAAACTGACACTGCTGCATAGCCAGTTAAAAACTCCTTGTAGTGCATTTAAGTAAAAGTAGAAGCATCAAAATATACTTAAAGTACCAGAAATAAATGGATTTAAGATACTGAACCCCAAATCGGCTGACCGTGTGAATGTGTCAGAAAACGCTGTATAAATGCTGATAACTGTTTTCTCCCTGTAGCTGGTGAGGGAGTGGATGACGTGAAGTCGAAGGCGGTGAACGAAATGATGGAAAGGATCAAACACGGCGTCGTCCTGCGGCCTGTCAAGAGTCAGGAGAGCAAGGTGAGGACGAGACGGGCAAACCTCGACTTTACTGACCCGTATCTGTGCAACCGCTCCTCTACCGAGCTAGATTTGTAAGGAATTCTAAAGCCAATCGCTGTCTAGTGATTGCCACGGGCAAAGTGCACGCACACTTCAGGTATTAGATATAAACCCGACCCTGGAGCTTCCTTCCACAATCTACCATGTCAGTGTTTCACAAAGCTTTTACAACAAACAAACAAATAAAAGATACTAACTACACGTACTATTCCTCTACGTCTACAGAACAGACTCCTCATCTGAGTCAGGGTCTGACTGAGTGAATAATGTAGCCTGAATGGATGAATCTCTCCTTTTATACTAGCCAGCTTGATGCTAACTTTAACTAGCAAGTAGCAGGGGTCCAAAAAAAGAGTACATGTGATTCTAACCCCTTTTTTTATTACTTTTTATGTGGGAAAATCATGTTCAACAAAATAAGTATTTTTACACACTTAAAAACCAGTCAGGAGGGGATCTTTAAACTAATCTCTTCTAAAAATTCCTGAATCTAATTAATTGTGATTTAATGAAATAAAACTTTTTTGTTGCCTTTTTGCCCACAAACCTTTAAAAATAAAGCCTTTTTGCCCCGAACTCCTCTATAATTTTCACCCTGCATCAACAATAGTTGAGGTGAAAGGTCAAAGGGCAGAGCTAAAATATTCCTCTGAAAAAAAATCAATCTTCAGTTCGAAACAGCGTCAAAACAAAACGACACTCCTGCTTCCTCCCTGTGGAACATGTTTGACGGTTTCCTCCTCCCGCTGTGAGGATGAGGAACGTCAACGAACGCGCTCGGCTCCGTACCCGATGTCGTCTGAATGCACTCTGTCTGATTGCTCTCTTCTCTTTCCTCCCCATGTTCCTCCTTTGTGCCGCCACAGAGAGGAGCCGTAAAAGTGAGTATATTGACGTTTGCATCAATCTTGTGACATGAAGTCGCCGTCGCTCTCTGGGGAAAAAGAGACGTTTCCCCTCCCTCTGACCCCCACTAACCCACACACACACACACACACACACACACACACACACACACACACACACACACACACACACACACACTGCAGAACCTCCAGTTTTAATCAGTTAAACACACATCACTTTAACTTCCATTTCAAATAACTTCATGGGCCGGACACTGTGTGCTTGTTGTTCCTCTCTAAAGGGAAGCTTACTAATTGGGAAGCCCTGCAGCACCAGTGTAGCAGCCTTTCAATCAATCCAGTCAGCAGGCAAAGTGAGTCTTTTTCCATCAATCCCCGGTGCTGTCATGCCACACTCTACACTGTAAAACAAGATTCATTGAACTCAAAAAAATGTTGAATCTGATTACTGTAAGTAAAACTAACTCAGTTTTGTGAGTTAAAAAACATTCTTGATCAAGTAGCTTTAGTAATTTTAAGTGACACTGACTTTGTCCTTTTTATACTTTGATACCCAGAAAAAAGTACTTAATCAGGAATGTTTCTTGAACTTACGAAACTTAACCAAAAGTTAATTTGGTTAATTAAAGCTGCCATATTGTCATTGTGTTAAAATGTATAGTGTCTTTCATGTTTTAAGATGTTTTTTATGTTGATTTTGTGATGGGTTTCAAATTGTAGCACTGTGCCCAAGACAAATGATTCATATCCGTATCTGTACAACCGATGAGCTAAAAGGTTATATAACTCAATTAACCACAATACTTGAATTGAAATATGGAAAATACAAACATGTGACCTGTATAAGAAACATTGAAATTCAATAAATGTAGAAACATGAACAAACTATTTCCGGACACTCAAGAAGTTTTTGGAACGATTTCAATCTTTTAGTTTTTGAAATATGCTCATTTTTATTTAATTTTTGAATCTGCTCCTCTCCAATGAATGTTGCAGCTATGGTTTTTATTTTAGATTGATTAAAACAGGATAATGCAAAAAACAAAGTGAAATCATTTGTGTTTCTTTCCCCAGCCGCCTCCAGTCTGTGAGGAGAAGCAGCAGGAGAGCGCCATGGAAGAACTGAAAGGCATCCTGGTAAGAAACATGGCTTTAGCTGATGTGGTTGCTATGGAAGGAAATTCAGCCTTCACAAACTCTACATCCTCGGTGTTCAATAGGGGGTCCTCAGAGTTACTGCAGAGGGGCCGCCAAATTACTCTGATCAGTTTCTGTGTTTTTCTTTTTGTTTGTTGGTAATAAAAAATTAAATATGTCTGAAAAAAACACATTAACAGCATGAATCCAACATGTTATTAGATGCATTGGCTTATTTGTAAAAAAAAAAAAAAGGAAAAAAATTATTAAATAACAATTCACACAACATTGATGAGAAGAGACGAGACGACCCTAACACTAAGAGTTATAGTCACCATTTTTAATTTGGATGTATAATTTCCAGGTCGTGTACAAAAAAGAGGGGTGATTGTCAATTTCAGTTTAAAGTTTAATGTTGTAATAAGATATATAAAACCTGCTCTATATGAAAGGTGTCCAGAGATAACTTCTGTTATCAATACATGTATTGATTTCCCCGATCCAATATGTCAGCGTGTCCTAGAGAGTGAAGAAGTTCTGGATTCCAACGTATTCACTTATTTGGTGAATAATAAACTCCCTGCAGTGACGGTTGTTTTTGCCTCCAGGAGACGGTGAAGCGGAGCCCCAGCCGAGGGTCTCAGGAGTCGGGGCCGTCGCCGTCTGGGAAGAAGGACAGTGAGCTCGAGGTCATCCTGAGACGCCGACGCAACAAGGCGGGAGAAGCTGGCTCCGGAGGTAAACAGGGGAATTTTTTCCTCCTGGAAATCCTTCTGCAATCAGGGCTCGTATAAACCTTCCTACTACATAAACTCTACAATATGTGAAACGTTTTATATAATGTATATCTCAGGTACAGTAACAATACCACACTATTAAAATACTCTGAGTTAAAGTCCTGCATTATGATATAAAACATTCATGTAGAAGGAAAACCACAATTTTCTAGGTAAAGAGAAAGTTATAGCATGCTGAGCAGAGAATCATCACACTGTTGTATTCTCCTCCATTGGCAGCCATTGTATTTTGCAGCTATTTTCTCATCTAACTCTGTGAATGAATGCTTTATTTTGACCAAACCAGACTAAGAAAGACAGTTTGGGTGACTTTTATTTTGTGTCTGGCGAGTTAGAATAATTTACGGTTTATGAACCCGGGAGGTAAAATGAGTGTTTTTGTCAATGGAGCAGTTGCCTTCACACGTGTGGAAATATTAGTAACAAAATGTACTTAAAGTATCAAAAGTATAAGTACTTCTTAGGCAGAATGAGTGTTATATAATTGGATCATTAATATTGATGTATAAATATTAAAGCGGTACTTTTGGTAGTAGTTGGTGGAAGTGGAAATGTAGTTTACTCTATAACAATGCATCATATTTTATAAACCTGTATAATTGGAAGTAAAATCTTGATTTGTAAAGTAATCAGTAACTATAATATTTAAATAAATGTACTGGAGTTAAAGTATAAACTACCCTAAAGTAGAAATACTAATATCAATTCTACCCCAACATCCTCTTCATGTGTTTTAAACACACTTTTAAAAGGAGAGAGAAAAATGTCCATGACTCCTAATATCCTTATGATAGGAAACTAATTCCCAAACATCTTTACTGAGCAGTGATCAGCGGTGGCAAAGAGGATAAAAACTAAAACTGAGGGCTCACATGAGGTTGAGCTGTTAACGATCGCATTGCTGTGTCAGTCGATTTTCAGAACATGTGGTGCAGAGGTCAGAGGTTCGACTCCCGCTGACACTGCACTCAAAATAATTTCATGCTGTGAGGGAGGAATAATCTTATCCGCAGTGTCTGTGTGTGTCCAGCAGAGGGGGCGTGCACCGCAGAATAAACACACAGACTGTAGGACTACAACCAGGTCAGATTATTGCTGACATGGATTTATCTGCTTTTCCATGATTGATTGAATGAGCCACGACTGCTTGAGTTCAAATCTGCAAAATATTTAGATTCATTACACGACGGACTCTGGTCTGATGGGAAGTTGGTGAGAGTTTAAAAAAACTTTCCTTTTGTTTTCTTAATGTAGCAAAGAAGGGTCAAAGATACAGGTTATTACAGGTGATGGACAACCTAAAATAAAACCTATAATAACTTGGCTAAATGTGTTTTTCCTTCAAAAACAATTTGAAAAGGACACAAGAGAGAAAAGTATGACTTGCTTTTTATTTTTCTACAGATTTGGTGCACATAATGCTGCCAGAAAATAGTGATCAGAGAAAAATGACCAACTTTCATTTTTGTTATTTGTTAAATGATGTTAAATATCCAAAGGGATAAAATAATGGAAAAAATATAATATAATACAATGAGAAACTGTAAACTGACCTAAAATAGAGCAAACCTAGCGTTTCCTGCCTGTCCTCCTCTGACCCCGCCTGTCTCATTACCCGCCTTCATTCCCAAAAACAACACATCCATTAAAAGCCAAAGTGCTGAACTCTAAATTCCCTTAGCAAACATTTAGGTGTCAGGTAAGATAGATGTTCTACACCACTGCTAAAAACTACTGCTGAACACACTTCCAGCAGAGGTTGAAGACATGCTGGAGCAGGGAAAGATTAGCATTAAGTCCCCAACACAGTAATTCATCTCGTAAAGGTGGACATAGAAATTAAAAAGAGTAGAATATATAACATCAGCAGTTGGCCCAATAGTGAATAATCAGCCCCAGTGAAACGCTCTGTTTAAAGATTTTAAATCAAAATCAGGACAGTCAGGGACCTTTTGCAGGTTCTGGTTTGAATGTGGCATCAGATCTTTGTTTCTCCTTTTCATCTCCAGATGAGCGGGAGGGCCAGATGAGCCACGTCTCCTCCTTGGACAGCCTGAACGGGACACGCACCAGCAGCGACTCGGGCAAGGATCCAGAAGGGCCGGGGGGGCTGAGCGTCCCCTCGGACTCTGCGGGCCCCAGGGTTAGCCCAGAGAGACGGGGGTCAGGACCGGGGCCTGTCGTGGCCAGGAGGAAGAGCTCCGACACGGGCAAAGAGCCCAGAGTGGGCTCCTGGCAGGAGAGGAGGTCCTGCAGCTCTCTGTCCGAGAAAGAAACAGCGGAGTCCCCGCTCAGCAACGGCTGCTTCAACAGGTGGAGCATCAGAAACATGAACCGCACTTTCACTATCGATTAATCTGCTCGTTCTTAAAAACAACCAACTGATGTCGAGTATTTTGCTCATACACAATATTTGGGTTAATTACTCGATTGTCGTTAATCTCTGACCTTTCCTGTCTTTGTGTCCCGGCTCCACAGTGTGGGGGAGGATGATCAAAATGCGACTGAGAAGTGCGTCAAGTCAAACGGAGTCGAACGCGCCGGACCGGGAGAGGACGCACACGCCGCCGCCCCGGTCAATGGCAGCACCGACGCCGAGTGCTAAGATGGACTCCGGGGATCCCGGGCTTGTTTCTGTAACCTGATCCACGCATTTATTGGTTTAGGGTGCGATCACACGTTTGCCTTTGTTGACTGTGTCAGAACCAGAGTGGAAAAGACTTTGTGGTACTTTTGTGTTTGTGTTTTTCAGATTTACACTTATCATTTAAAGGACTAGTGTGCAGGATTTAGTGGCATCTAGTGGTGAAGGTGCAGATTGCAACTAGTTGAAATCAGATGGAATAGATCCTCCTCAATGTTACACACTGGACCTTTAACAATGAAAGAAAACTCACATGACGAACATGTAGCGAGTTTTAGTCCAAGCGTGTCACCCTCATGCTGTTGAAAAAGTGTAAGTCCAGAGTTTGAACATGCTTGGTGAACGCACCCTATCCTGTCATTGTAGAAGCCCTACCTCCTCAAACAACCTGTATCCGTCACTCATGAGTATTTGAGAAATCTTGCCAGCCTAAACCAGCATTAGTTCATGAAGTTCATGAATTTGCTGGTTAAACTTAAAATGGCCATTAATTTCTGCATTTTATTATTATATTTATATAGTTATCCAGTATTCATATGACTGTGACTGCTTTCCTTCCTGTCTCAGAGTAGGTGATTCATTGGCCAGTAACGTAAACATAGTCCATTGTAGGGATGGTACTGCATTAATATGTTTAATGCAGTGGTTCCCAACACGGGGCTCAGGATGACTCACAGGCGAGAAGAATAAAGACGGATTATTTCTGGGGGATTTTTCATACTTTTGTAATCTTTATTCTTAGTGTATAGCTTTCTACCTTCAGGGGTCTAAAACTTACTCAAATGAAACAGTCGAAAAGGGTAAACACCACTCTTAAATTCTCTTTCTCTCTCTCTTCTTTCTTCCCACATCAAAGCGACTCGTGATCTTTTTAAGGGATGAAAAACCTAAAGGTTACGGACCACCGGTTTAATGTAACATTGGCTATTTTGAATGCGTAAAGCGCCACATCCATTCTATACTTTACTTGTCCCGGTTTTCCAGACTGTTATCTCCACTGCATCGACCAAAAACATAATCCACCATAATTGAAACCGAAACTGAAGATGCAGTAAGCAATGCAGCTGAATGATTTCACATACAAAATTTCCCCAAATAACCAATCCAGTGCAGTCGGTGTGGGGCTTTCTACAATGACATCCTCAATGATCCAACACCCAGAGCATTTATCAATCTGCTGTACATCCGTACTTCTCTTTGAAGGTTTCCGTGGAAACAAACCCGTGGATCCAGGAGGACAGACTGACTGAACTGTACGAGGGAAGCTGCACCTTTTTGCACAGAACCTCAGTTTTCTTCAAACACTTCAACTTGTACAATGACTGCAAAGCTTTAGGTTGATGTTTTTTTTCTCTACTCGATGCACAAAGGATCTGTTCAATATCACTTTGTGTCATCAGAAGGAATGCACTGTACTGTTTAGAATCCAGCTCTCCAACTTCTTCTGCTTCTCCTCCGACCCCTTTCTTCGTTACTGCTAGTGGTAGTTGGGGGTGCACAATTGATTGATGTATATTCATAAGTCTGCTATTGGCTTCATCAGTGGCAATATTGGAATATATTTTACTTTATTTATGCTGCAGTAAAATTTCAAATGCATGAATAGTGTGAACCACTGAGGCAGATATTCACGGTTAGGGTTGGGACAAACTGCTCAACTGAAACAAACTGCAATAGGACAGAAATATTGACATTTTTGATCATCGGTTAATTTGAAAGCATCTGTAGTTTCCACCCTGTCATCATAGTATTTAGATAAAAAATCTAAAGACTAGATCCTGAACACTTTAGACTCACCATAGATTCTGCAACGATCTTACACCAAGCAATACCAAACTGTTAGATGGTACAAACATACTGATGACGTAGCTTTTCTTAGAGCCTTAAAAATGTGATGTTTGGTGCTACAGGAAAGGTTGCACTGTTATTCAAGTCCAGTGGGTTCATCCTCTGGGGATATTTAGTTGGTGAATATCAAGGCAAGCTTAAATCTTAATATTTAATATGTAAAAATTGAAAGTTTAGCCTGTTGCTGGTGTATATGTGGCGATCACAAACAGGCAGGACAAATTTCATAGCAATCTGACCGGTAGTCATTTGATTATTGATTGAGTATTACACCGCTTACCCTCAGATCTCATCGACAGCCGGACAAAAACACACACAGTAATTTTGATACATCCGTAAGAAGTCCCAGCCCTAATTGGCCCTTCCTAAGTCCCGCCCCCCTTTTTCTCTGTGCTCCAATAACAAGAGAAAGTTGACCAAAGTTCTGACTGAGACTTGCTTAACTGTTATTGGAGCACAGAGCAAAAAGGGGTGGGACTTAGGAAGAGGTAATTCTGATTATTATTAGACAATAAAACACATTGTAAGGTCGATTTAAGTTGGCTTTCTGAGCAAACTGTATCCACTCATTAAGAGATGTGGCTGAGAGCTCCAGTATTCCTTTTTTTTTTGTTTTCCAAGGTCAAGAATGAACCTTCAGCCCTGATTGTGCACCCCTGTAGTATCCAGGTATTTATCTCAATCATGAACTTCCTCTCTTTAGTCCAACCTCTTCCTGAGTCTAAATGGAGGGAGGCTGAGTGCAAACACCCAGGAACAATTTTTACAACCAGGGTAAAACAAAAAAAACGTCCAGAAAGCACTGAATGTGGAAACACTCTTTTCCTTTCTTCCACTTTTGCTGCTGAGGCTCGTGTCCAGGTTTCAGCGTGTCGACTATCAGTGCGTCGTAAGGCTTGTGAGGGTTTGTGGCGGAAATCAGGCAAATGTGGAATAGAAATATGACTGATACTTCAGGTTTAGAGGAACAGAACAAGAGGTTTCTCCAACAACAGCAAAGACAGTAGCACAGTTCCAACTAAATCACATCCAACCAAAATGTTCTCAGGGTCCTCTGCAGGCGTTGACAGCAAAATGTTTGGGAGAAGAACAGAAAGCCATTTTTTTCTTTTTTAAACTCGTGGTTAATATGAGCAAGCTTTGGAGGAATGAGGTGCTTGTGTACTTTGTCTACCTCTCCACAGACACCTGCCTTCAAACCTATACGTCCTGAATTACATTTTGTGGTGTGAAACCTAATGAGATGCTGTCGTAGTCCCTCCACCAGAGATGTCTTCCACACGCCTTCCTCCACTGAATCAGAGTCCTGTGTGCACACATTCTGAGACGCCCTCATTGTTTCTGTACTCGGTCAACACGCTCACCATCACATCTCACCGTGCATTCCTTGACTTTTTTTTTGTAGGGGCCTGCTGTCTATATATAGCTTTCCTGACACGTGATGCAACATTGAGAACAATTTTGAAGAGTATGCAATTACATAAGGCACATTTGTATGATGCTTTCACACCTTGTCACTCTTTCTTAAAACACAGAATCACATTTAAAAGTGCATTTTGTTTCTGTCCATTAAGTGTATTTTATTCTAATGCAAAGGAGCAGATGTTAAGGAGTTAATAAACTGTTAGGCTGCACATGAAACAACCTACCAGAGCCGTTAAGCCGCCACAGGCCTGAATATTATGCATATCGAGGCCTTGCACAGGCCTTCAGACGGCTGTAGAGTCGGGGTTATGTTTTAGGTCCTTGTACTGATTGCATAGTTGTTAACCAAGTGGCTACTTAACAAAAAGGATTTACTGTATCTGACAGAGTTTGGGTGATAATAGATATTGTGTGTGTTTGGGATATAAATGGAGTGTTAAAAGGTTTTTTAAGACATGGATTTTCATTTTAGCATCACTTGAAATAAATTGCAATTCAAACAAAACTTGTGGTTTTTTTCTACTATTTGAAGACGGAAGCAGCAAAAGCCACTGATGGAAAGTAGGATAAGATAAGATATGGCCCATATGTCCCTCTGATGATAGTGGATTATAAACAGGCTGTTGTATAAAGCAGTGGTTCCCAACCTGGGGCTCGGGACCCTCCACTAGGGGTTGCCAAAGCTTCACAGTGGGTTGCTTCTTGATTTTAAGGGGTGTAAAACAACTTCTGTGAAGCAAACTGGATTAAATTGTAATTCTTCTAATTTTAGATTAACATTAAAGATCTAGACTTTGAAGACATGAACAGAAGTTATGTTCACAGAGCCTTCACTCTCTGATAAAGAGCTTTGTTCTGTGTTAGAAAAGTATGCAGTTAAAACAACCAGAGCTTGCTGTTGAGACCAGCTGGTTGCTGGGCGGGACTTAACACAGCTAACTGTGATTGGCACACTCATTGTTATCTTTTAAAAACAGGAACTGATACACATCTTCAACTATGCACCAAATAATAATAAAGTAAATATTTTAAAAACAGTAATATAAGTAATATTGTTTTTATCTGATTTTGATGTTTTGTTTAATTATATTTTTCTTATTATTAATAACAATGTGGGAGGAAACCGAGGCACTCGGAGGAAACCCATGCCAACACAGTGAGCGCTCTGTGCTCCTCACAGCAATGGTGTCAAGGCTCAGAATTGAACCCCTTACCTCATTGCTGCGAGGCCACAGTGTTGGACACTGAGGCACCTGTGTGGCCCTGTAAGTCTTGAAGTCTTAGTTACTTTCCAAGTTAAACACTCTGTGCTACCAGCCGAACTGAGGTTGGTAGCACACAGTGTTCTTCTGGACATGTTTTTTTCATTGTTATTTCAAATGTGGGAAAAACTGAAGCACTCAGAGTAAACCCAACGTCAACACAGTGAGCACGTGTACTTACAGCATTGGTGTTAAGCCCCCGGAATTTGTGGGGTTTTTTGACAAAATGACAAAGCGATAAAAGGTGGGTATCTTCTGCCTGCCCCCCGACTGCAGATCAGCAGCACAACTGCAGCAGCTGGCGAATGGTTTGGCCATTTTTTTGAGAAGCCCTTTGAAGAACGTCTTAACCCTGGTCTTTTGTGGTGTCATCAGATGGCTTTTTAGAGTGTCAATTATAATTTTGTAAAGAAGTGCATCCTCTAGCATCAGGCTCAATCGCACTCCATCTGCGCCGCCCATCTTCTTGCGCAAGTCCTTGTTCACCGCCTTCGCTATGCTGTTAATATGGTTGCTCTTTGGCTTAATAGCAGCGGCAGAGTCTGCTATCTCCGCCCAGAGCATCTCTTTCAGTGTACTGAAAGAGTTTTTGAGAAAAGGCAAATCAGTCTGCCCACCTTTCATAATCTGGTGAAGCAGCCCATACACCACAAGCCCACAGGATGCTTCGTCCCACTTGTGGACTGGGTGCGCTTTGGCCTTACGTGCAGCTTTAAAGGCCTTGTCACTGACAGCTGGCTTATCAGTGACAGAAGCTGGTGCTGATTCCAAAACAGGGCTCACCAAGGGCCCCTCCACAATAACCACTGCTGCCTTGATCTTCTTCAGAGCAATGCTCATGTGGTCCCTCTTGTTCTTGCGCAGTTGCACTTGCTGATTGAGCCAATTCCACATTAGCTTCATAAAAGCGTCCACTTCAGCTTTAATCTCGACCCGAAACCTCAACTCGCGCCCTTGTTTTAGATGTTGTAATACTAACTCAGTCAGCGTCATAGTGACCATTTCATATTGGTCAGTTGAAATGTACCTGGCAATTCTTTTATAGATGCACTCTGGGCCATTTTCCTCTTGTTTGATCATGTTGTCCACCACCTCACCCACCCCGCCAATTAGCTCCTCCACTGATGCTTTTTCTGGAGGTGGGAAGCAGCTAAATTTCCTCCTCAGCTTTTCCACAAAGCTAAGGATTGACACCTTGGCAAATCGGTGGATGAAAAAGGCCTTAATTTTTCTTCCTACCCTCTTCCAGCAGGATATTTTGATAGGCTTGGACTGTGATCCAGGCGGTGTGCTGAATATCTCCAATTTCAGCTCCTCCACTATATGTCTAGCTATGCCAGACGCTGCTTGGTCTGCATCCTGGCAGACACTTGACACAAGCAGATCGTGTTCATCCTGTGAACTCTCAAGATTGTAGTCAATCGGACTGATAACATCTGCCTCGTCCTGCAGGATCTTCTTCACGGCTTCAGTCGTTTTATCTACGAAGCTCTCCACGCTGTTTTCGTCTTCAAAGGGAAGACTCCACGACTCCTCAGTTCCATGCAGCTCAGTGTCCTGGTCAGCTGATTCTGTAGTTTCATCAGCTTCCATTTTTTGCTGATCTTTCACGTTATTATGCGAGCTGGAAGTGCATGTGATCTCAGAAAAACTATTTTCTAGTTTGTCTTCTTCAAAGGGAGGTACAAGGATCTGCCACGGCTCCCTAGTTTTATCAGGCTCAGAGTCTTGGTTGAGTTGAGTTTCATCAGCCTCCATTTCAGGAGTCCGCTGAGCTTTTTTGTTACACGAGCTGGACTTACAATTCACCTTAGCTGCACATTTTTTTAGGATCTTCGCTACGTGTTTCACGATTGTCTTTAGTCTGCAGGTGAAGGACCTGGAGACTTGCGGTTCATTTCCTCTGCTGCTTCCACTCCTGCAGAGCTCAGAGTTTATGCGCTCTGTAACTTCTTTCGTCACAATTTCAGTCACTTTTTCTGTGCTCGGACAAGTGATTCCGCCTGAAACACCCGTCGCCTCCGCAAATGTGAGTTCAATAATGTCACCCAGACACTCGCGGACTTGGCTTTCAGAAATCTTCTGTGATCCATCAGGCTCAGAAGAGTTCTTCTGGGATCCATTAGATCCAGGAGTCGGGGTCAAACACAAGTCATTCTTTAGTTGGCTTTGTTTAAATGAATCATATATGTGTGTACATATAATGTTTACAATATTGGCACACATGTCTGTTATTATTTCTGCTATCTCGTCGTCAACAGACCCAGTCTCCAGCGTGGACCACTGCACTGCAGTCAGCTGGTCCAGGAACGGACGGACGAGTGGCCGTAGCTTATCTGTGGTGATAAGTGGTGGGATCCAGTCCATCTCTCCTCTGTTGGTGGAATCCATTGTCTGTTGTGAATACAGTATGCTGTCTGCGGTCACTGTTCTTGTCTCCTTGGAAGGAAGTGAATGTCCGGGATGTGGGTGCTATATGTAGACATCCAAACGGAATGTTAGCGTCACATTAACCTTCCAATTCCAATTGACTTTGATCTTTCAGTGACATCATGACGTGACATCATGACATTCTAGAGACTTCAAAGCAAGAAATTATTCGAATTTAAAAAAAAACATTCCAGCGTTAAAAGAGTTTTAAAAATACACACACACACACACAATTATACAAGAATTATATTAGGCCTATTTCTGAATGACAACAGTGCCAAATAGGAAAATAATGAACAGGAAAAAAAAAAATAAAGAATTAATACTTCTGAAATCCAAAATAGGGGAACAAAAAGCGAGCTTGATCGGGAGACACAATTTGTACATTATAACAAATAGGAACATTAGTGCTGGTGCTGGTCTATACATGTAACTATGGATTCAAACACACTTAAACTTTTGACACTCTGAGTTCCGAAAAGGACGAGAGTTACATCTAACTGCTCCATAAGCTCCGATATTAATCAAGAGCATTCATTTCTAGGGAAAAACAGACGTGCCAGGTTTTAAAATGGCTGTAATGGTCACATTTTTTACTTAATCCACACAAATTGACCTACAGGTTTTGAATTACGGGGTCTTGTCTCAGTGACACAGACAAACCGGATGTTCTTCTACTCTGGTGGAAATTAACACAGCTGACTGTGATTGGCTCAATTAAAATCTGTCATATATTCATGAGTAGTTCCTCTAATTGATCCACTTTTAATGTCAGCCATTTTGTCCCTTTTCTATTTCTCTCTCTCTCTCTCTCTCTCTCTCTTTCTCACATACACACAAAACACACACAAACATAGAGACAGATGATGCATCTCCTCTTCCTCACACAAAAATAAAATAATATATTTAAAAAATAAATAAAAGTCCGATAGAGTAACTCTATTTCAACAGGAAGCACAGGGTGACCCTTGTTTTTAATAATAAATACCCCAATGGCTTGTTAACATCGGGGAAAGTGATACATATTTTTTTTTTTCAAAATAAAATCCCCAAAAAGTAACTGGAAACTGAGGCTGTTCCTTCAAAATAAAGCCCCTAGGTAATAACTATCTTAACAGGAAACTAAAGATATACTTAGTTTTCAGAATACATTTCTAAACAGGAACTGTATCTTCTCTCTCAGGATACGCACACTGTTACTGAAACATTTTCTAGTTTCACTCAGTATCTCAAAATAATGAAAAACTTTCTCAAAATTTTAATTAGTGTTAATATATTATTTTGAGGTACCAAGTTAAAATATTCTAATTTTGAGATACTAATCATTATTTTTTGTGTAGTCTATATTAATTAATAATATCTGTTTTTATTGAACAATTTAAATGTTCAAAACTACAAGGTATACAATAACAATCAGCACATTGGTGACATAAATAATAAATTAATCAAAGATAGAGTACAAATTAAAAATAAATAATAATAATTTAATTAAATAAATAATAATAATTTAAATAAATAAATAATAATAATTTAAATAAATAAATAATAGATAGTTCAAACAGGGGCTTCAGGGAAAACCTTTTCATAATGACTCAGTCAGGTATTAACGTTACTTTTTTTGTTATTTAACACAATCAGACATTTAAGCAAAGAGCTCAGTTGATTTTGCGATTTTTTTTTGTTTGTGAATAAAGAATTTTGCATATAAGATAACAAAGTTCACAGGTGTTCAAGAGCATTATCTTCTATTTATTAATAATTAATATAAAACACACAGTCCTCTTCTTCTCGGCCATTTGGCGGGCTTCACTAA